GGCTAAGTAGGGAACATATATCTGGCACATAGTTCAGTGTGAAATGTGCTGGTCTATCTAAGAATTACATCTACAACTTTGGCTTTTCAGTATTAGTCAGTGGTCATGCTTTTTCTATGCAGAATTAGGATTCTGGACTTACACCTTGTTTTTTTATTCCTCTTCATCACAATTTAAGGTGAAGCTAATGATAATTGAATAGAGGAAGAAAAATGATGTTTGGTGTTAGCATATATGATAGCCACTTTCCCATGGCTAGGGCAAAATACCTAACACCTGCAGCTTAAGGGAAGTGAGGTGAATTCAGTCCAAGGCTCCAAAGTCAAAATAGCATGCAGAATAGCATGTCAGAGGAAAGCTATTCACTCTAGGGCTTCTATGTATCTTGATGTTTTTGAGTATTGATTTTATTTTTTCTATTTAACTGGCACACAGTTGTACATATTTATGGGCTATAGAGTGACCATTCAATACATGTATATGATGTGGAAGGATCAAATCAGGTAATTATCATCTTCTTGTCTTACATGGTTATCATTTCTTTGGGTGTGGAGCATTCAAAGAGAAGAGAAGCTTTTTCTTCTAGTTCTAAATAAAATATATGATAGTTGTTGAAAGTCACAGTTACCTTACTGTGCTGTAGAACATGAACTTACTCCTCCTGACTGTATTTTACCATCCATTATTTAACCTTTTGTTATCCTTCCCCTATCCATCCTTCTTACATCTAATAACCACTATTCTACTCTCTTATTTGAAAGCAAATGTTTTAGTTTCTACATATGAGTGACAACATGTGGTATTTGTCTTTCTGTGCCTGGCTTATTTCATTTAACATGATAACCTCCAGTTCCATCTATTTTATCCTAAATGACAGAATAGCACTCTTTTTTTAGGGTGAATAATATTTCACTGGATATATGTACCACATTTTGTTTATTTATTCACCTAATAGGTACCTTGTGTTGATGCCATATATTGGCTATTGTGCATATCAATACTGGGATGGAGGGGAACAACTTGGTTTTTAAGATACCGTATAAGTATTATATGGTAAGAGAAAGTCTCCAGGACCAGATTTCCTGGGTTTGAATCCTGGTTCTTTCAGTTACTGTCATTATAACTATGGTCCACTACTTAATCTCTGTGTGTTATTGTATCCTGTGATCTTGATCACTTTGGTTCTAAGAAGTTTTTAGTAGGTTCCTTAGCATTTTCTGCAAATACATTACATAGTCTGAAAATGAAGACAGTTTTACTTCTGTCTTTCCAATCTTTTTTCCTTTCTATATGCCTTATTGCACTAGCTTGCACCTCCAATATAATATTCCAAATCTTAGGGAGAAATCATTTATTCTTTCAAACATAAACATGATATTAGCTATAGATTTTGTTGCAGAGTTTTTATGAAATTAAAGAAACTTTCTCTTATTTCTAATGCTTAGGGTTGATATGATAATTCGGTATTTAATTTTGCCAAATGATTTTCCTTCATTTCTAGGGATAATCATAAGATTGCCATCCTTATTAATATGGTGATTTACATGAATTTTTCAAATGTTAAGCTGTTTAATATAACAAAAAGAAAAATATTTTACTATTTTTTGTGCTTTTGTTGAGACTTGGCAGTATCTTAAGTAGTCCAAAATATCTAGACTTTATCATAAATCTTTCTTTTCAATGAACTAAGAGAAACTAGCAATATAACTATATTGTATATATATATATATATATATATAGTTTGTACAATATCTTATGCCTATATCTTGTACTCTGAGTAACTACCCTGAAGATAACAATATGCAATGTGTTAATTATGTTACTCTTTTATCTTGCTTTTGAAATTCTGGGGTTTTTCCTTTTTAAAATTAAAAAAAATCTCTAGATTTATTCTCCAGTTACCTCTCAATTTAAAAAATGATATGTTAAAGACATAGTAATCAACAATAACATAACCTTTGGGAAGAAACACAAATGGTTATATTAAGACTCCTTATTTAGTGGTTTAGATATATTTTAGTAAAATGTCAACCAGTACCAGAACATAGTACTTATACTAACTTCCTCATCATTTACTTTACTTCTCTTATAATTCATAAAAAAGTAATCTTAATTCTTTTGAGAACTTCCTTTTTGATGAAATGAATATATTGGGTAATGAAGCCAGCTAGGTAATACATAGTTATTCAGATGTACTTTACTCTGTATTTAGAAATATTTTGAAGTAATAACCATAATAAGCAGAAGTCCTCAGATAAAGAAAGACTTGATTTTTCATTAGGTGATAAACAAAATGAGTACTACCATCAGTGGTGCCTTGATTTATCATACTTGCTCTTTGACTGTGGACCATAATAGTGAATAGAAAGGTATTTGTGTTTTTTGTTACTAGGTACTACCAAGACTGTTTTAGTATAATGACTATTATTTTTGTGAAGAAGACATTTAAATATCAGTATATGGTGAGAGTGATTCATTCTTCCTAGTGGCAGATCTTAATCCTATAAATGAAAATAACACTGTCAGGACATCTGCTAATTGAGTCTTCCGTTAGGTATTATTTGCGTAGCTCTTAATCCCTAAAGATACAGACTACCCATTAACTCAGTAAACCTTTTGTATGAATAGAATTGAATAAAGCAGATGAGTGAGTATATGTGGTTGGAGACAGACCTTGGAATCTTGTTCTGTTTCTCATGTGTGAAGCTACACTGCCTATCTTTCTCTGTACACACAACTTTTGGGCACAACCCTGTGACAGAGCTCTCATCAACTCATTTACAAGCTTAGCCTTGTCAGCTTCCAGAAGCAGCATGACCTTCTCCATTCAGCTGCTGATACTAGCCCATTCTTTAACTCTGTCTCTTCCATTCCCATGGAGTAAGGCTCTGGACTGCTTCTGCACATGCTTGCTGAGAGTCATTCACAGGCTATCTGCACAAGACCAACTGGGAAAGGAGATGTGGCGTCGTGCCAAATGATGGGGGGCAGAGTGAGACATATTGAAAATGACATCAGAGCAGTAATCCCTCAGGGATGAATGCAAATTAAGCTGATAATATTTTTCCTGGAAATTCCAGCTCGTTCCAGGCATTTGTTCTCTGTAAAGGAGTAGAAGCAGATTTGATTCTTTCTGTGTGACAGGCCAGTCTGCCACAGAGGCAGTTCATATTTGTGGACTACACTACACAGAACTATGAAATACACCACAGATCTTGCTTTATATACTTCATGCATATTGACATGAATTCATTATAGTAATAGTTTTCTGTTTGGACATCCTTTCATAAATATTTTTACTTAGTTTGAGTATGTAAGATAATTTAAGGCCAGAAGAATCATTTAAAATGGAAATTATTTAGTAGAAAACAGTCACATTTTAAATCTTTGACATTCTGCCACCATTAAATGGGTAAATTTCTGGTTCTTAGCAATGAGTTCAATTCAATAAATATATATTACAAGCCACCCACTTATCCATGAATGAATGCTACTCTATATTTTCAGGGACCAAAAAGCTGTGTATGGCTCAAGTGGAAAAGAGTATGAAATTAAGAGACTATAAACTTCTTTGCTGATCACTGATAGATTTAAGGATTGGCCTGAGGTAGCTGATCATATGTACTGAATATAACAGAACTCTGGTTTGTTTTTAAATAATCAATAATGTATTTTCTTATAAAAGTAACATTTTCATTATAGGAGATTTAGTATAGAAAAAATTAGCAAAGCTAAGAAAAAACCCATCAGTGAAGCACCCCAAAATAATAACGTTGACATGTTGTTTTATAACCCCCCTAGCTTTTTAAGTTTATATCAAAAAATCTTGCCTCATACTCTTTCATAGGCTGCTTTTGTCATCTTATTGTGATATTTTGTAGCATTAAATATCATAATATTCTATCATATGAAGGTATAATTCCCTAAACCCCAACAGATGGAATTTTAAAATTTTAATTTCTCCTCAGTAATGACCATCCAGATAGATAAATCTTTGTTTGTTTGTTTGTTTGTTTGTTTGTTTGTTTGTTTTTGGAGGCAGAGTCTTATTGTGTTGCCGAGGTTGTTTTCAAACTCTTATGCTGGGTGATCCTCCCTCCTCAGCCTCGCAAGAGACTGAGAGTACAAACTAAGAGTACAGTTGTGCGTTAACACACTTCATGATTATTTTTAAACCAAGATCATGGAAGTATTGTATTGAAAATTATATGAAATACTATGACTTTGGTGTATTTATTTAAAATTTTTCCCAGCTTATATCAGTAGTAAGTTTATGAGAAAGTCAGAATTCTAAGTGAACATAATTGACCAGTATCAAACTCTGTATTTGTATTGACCTATATTGACCTATTATCTGTACTCTGATTAAATATTTAAATTTGATATAATTTTTGTTTCTCTTAGTAATCAGTGAATGCTCTACAACGAGTAGGTGGGGAGATGGGAAAGAGTTGAATCCTTGGGAATCTAGTTCTCTCCCAGGAGCCCCAGGAGGGAGAGCAGAAAGACAGGAAGATTGATATTTTATTATTTTGACTTAGATCTTACATAAAGGGTGGATACTTATAAAACCAGAACAAATATTTAATCTTCAAAAACTTACTGTCTAGTCAGGAAAGAGAGAACACACATCCATGTAAAGTAAACTAGTACAAATACAAACTCACAAGATAAAACTATTTTCTTTTTTGGTTCATGATTTAAATGTAGTATTCCTTTTCCCTATAAATAGAGTTTGACATAATGTGACCAAAATAGGCTAGTGATTATCTCCATCGCCTATTGCCTTTTCTTCACATGTTATCTAGGACTTTCCACTTCTGTTAATGTTAAAAACTAGGTATTTAGGGCCACTGAAGAAAACTAAAAATCTGACATATTATTTTTAAATGTTATTACATAGATTGAAGAGTTAATGAAATAGTAATGAGTGAAATTCCAGAGTAAAGCAAGAACCCAGAAAAGTAAGCTGAGCATTCAGAACCTCTTTTCCTTTGAAGGTGTTTGCTAGTCTGAAAGAAGTATCTGTGAATTGAAGCCGAGGGTTTGCTCATCTCAGAGAGGAAGACAGGAATCAAAGTCAGGAGCCTACTGCAGGTAAGAAATTTGATAATGCTCTTTATCTCTTTAAGTGAGATGTAAGCCAGGCATTGAGGGCACTATTCCTAGAACTCTGATAGGCTGAGGTAGGAGGATCGCAAGTTGGAGTGTAGCCTAGGCAGGTTGGGACTGAGTGATGTCTCAAAAATGAAAAGTGCCAAGGATGTAGCTCAGTGCAAAAGCCCTGGATTTAATCCCCAGGACCACACAAACACAAAGGAGAGAGAGAGAGGAGGAGGAGGAGAGAGAGAGAGACAGAGACAGAGACAGAGACAGAGACAGAGGGAGACAGAGAGAGACAGAGAGAGACAGAGAGACAGAGAAAGACAGAGAGAGACAGAGACAGAAAGACAGAGAGAAAAAGAGAGAGAGACAGAGAGAGAGAGAGAGAGAGAGAGAGACTATAATGAGCTAGTTCTGTAAAGAGAGTTGTCTAGAAGTAAATGTTTAACCAAACAGTTCAGGTTTATGTCACTTAGGAGGCCCAGGTGTATTAGTCAGTTTTCCTGTCACTGGAATAAAATAGCTACATAATTTAGATGAAGAGAGATTTATTTTGGCTTACACTTCTCAGAGGATTCAAGGTCTGGTTGGCTCCAAGGCAGAACAAGGAATGCTACTTATTCCATGGTAACCAGAAAGTGAAAGGAGAGGAGCCACAAACAAGTGAAAGGAGGAGGAGCCATGCCCATCCTGCCGGGCATGGTGGCACACACCTGTAATCCTAGCACTCGAGAGGTCAGATCATTGTGAATTCAAGACCATCCTGGTCTACAAAGTGAGCTCAAGTCCAGCCTCAACTGCATAGTGAGACCCTGTATCAAAAAAGACAAAATGAATTCCCATCCAGGTCATGCCCCGTGACCTGTCTCTAACCAGGCCCCTCCTCCTACAACATGCTGTAAGCTCATCAGTGTAGCATCCCCGTAGTAAATCACCTCTCAAGCACATGAGACTTTTGAGGGAACATTTTAGATCTACACCGTAGCACCAGGGAACCTCAAATTTTTCACCTAGACCAGTCGGTTCCCTACTAGTGGTGTCTTCCTGACACAAGCCAAGAAAAGTCCTTTCTAGAGAATGGTTCCATTATTGTAGAATTCAAATCTTTAAAATATATTTCTAGTATAATTACCAATGGAAATATAATTATTTCTATAAAATAACAAAATATCCTAACCAACAGAAACAATAAACAAATTTTTACAAAAACTTCAAGCCAGGCAGAGTGGTACATGCCTATAATCCTAGTACTCAGGAGGCTGAGGCAGGAAGATAGCTTCAAATTCCAGACCAAACTAGCTTACCTGTTGAGTTCAAGGCCAGTCTGAACTACATGGCAAGACCATGTCTCAAAAAAAAAAAAAATAACTACAGCTAAAGAGATTTGTTAAAATAAGTTTGAAAATATCTGTAAGAGCAGTAATTAATAAAAAGTATTAGAACAGATTTGAAAGAAATCTAAGCAGAACTTTAAAAATTAAAACAACCAAAATTAAGAATTTAGTGAGCATTTATCAGCAGATCAAACATAATACATGACAAAACAAGAAGATAGGCCTAAAGACATTACCTGGAATATAGCAGAACAGATAAAATGATAGAATACATGGAAGATAGAACAGGAGAGCTGAAGGATGGAATGAAAGTGCCTAGTAACATAACTTAAATGAAAGTCCCAGAAGATAAAGGAATTTTGAAAAATAGGCATATTTGAAAAGATAATGTCTGATAATTTTCTACATTAATCTACTAGTTCAAGAAACATAATGAGTGCCAAACTGGAAAATGAAAAGAATTCTCACTTGAGAATGAGAGATGATAAAATTTTAGCTAACCAAAGACAAATATTTTAAAATAATAAGTAATCTGGGTATGGTAGTGCATCCCTTCAGTCCCAAGACTCTGGAGACTGAGGTAGGAGGATCACCACAAGTTTGAGGCCAATCTGGACCACATTGTGAATTTAAGGCCATCTTGAACTACATAGCAAGACCCTGCCTCAAAAAATAAAACAAACAACATAATAATAATAATAAAATAATTTGCCTTCATAAAAGCAACAGGCAAATTGATGCTAGCTTCTTAATAATACACTGAAAGCTAAAAGACTGAGACCTCCATAATTCTTTTTGCAGTTTGTTCATTGAACAAGGAACTCCTGCCAAGGGTGTATGAGAAGCCAAAATCTACTCATTGTAGTTGTCAGAACTTGTGCCTAGATCTGAGCTGTTTCTGCCCACAGAAAGGGGTATCTTCTTGTAATTTCCACCAAGGTATCTTCCATTTCTCAAACCATGCCAGTAAGGAGCCTCAGCAGATAGCCAGCAACAGCTCTGAAGAAGGGGTTAATAATGTCAAAGTGTCTTAATTAGTTTTAAAATTATACATTGTCTTTTCATAATTGGGCATAGAGGAAAAATTGATCTCAGGTAGGTACTGAAGAAGGAACATTGAAGGCTTTCAGAGTTCACTAGATAGTTAACAGATTTAATAATATATACAAGATATATAGATACATAAAAATATAATGTGACTTACAAGGTAGGCTTACATGGCCATCTGCAAAGTCAGATGTAGAGGAATACAAAAGGCCATCTGCATACTGGCAAGCTGCATGTTCCACTCAAAAGTGCAAGAGACCAATATCTCACTGCAGAGTCCCTTTAGAATCTGCACTGGAAACCCAAGGGCCTGTGTTGGAAGCTGAAGAGTCTGGGATAATAGGCTGAAAAGTCTGAATTAAAAGCCCAGAGATAGATAGCCAAAGGCAATGATGAAAGCTGGAACTCCTCCAGAGCAGTGAAAGTGAGACTTCTTTCTTTCCCTTATTATCCATCCAGGCTACAAGCTTATTGGTTGCTGCCACCCACACCCAGGGTAGGTCTTCCCTCTTCAGTAAGCCCATCATTGAAACACATCCAAGACTATGTTAAACTAATCAGCTGGGTGTTTCTTACTCAAGTTGACACTACAGTTAACTATCAAAAGGCATTTTAAGAAAAAAGAAGATAACCTGCCACTAGGTTGATGAGCTAAATGTTCCTATTAAAAGTATACTGAATAAAATAATTCAACTGTCTCCTATTTATAGAAGGCATGCCTAAAATGTAAGTGAGCAATTTTCAACTTGGGGTGGTTTCCCCCCAAGGAGGATATTTAACAGTGTCTGGAGTTACTTTAACAGTTATTTTTACAGTGTCTGGAGTTACTGATCACCATGACTAACTGGAATCTATTGTAAACTACAATGTGTAAGACTGAGCCCTCACAACAAACAATTAATCTGGCCCTAATATTAATAATGCCAAGGCCAGGCATATAGCTCAATGGCAGAGTGCCTTCCTCGGAAGCACAAGGTCCTGAGTTCAACTTCTGGTAGTAATAATAATAATGTCGAAGTTGAAAAGCCCTGATACAGGTAAACAAAAAGATAGGAAGGAATATATACAAGGGATATATGTGCGCACCAAAATTAAGCCTATATAGCTATATTTTCATAGATAAAATTATATTGAATCATCAAACATGTCTAGAGATAAAAGGAGCTAGTTCAAAATAAAAGTTTTCATTCACTAGAAATATGTAAGTATTTTAAAATTATCTGGCCAGGCACAGTGGCATATACTGAGTCCCTGCTACTTGGGAGGCAGAAGCAGGAAGATCACTTGAGCCCAGGAGTTCAGGGCTAGCCTGGGCAACATAAGAAGACCCCATCGCTCAAACAATAAATGAATAGCTGTACATACCTAATACAGAGAGCAAAACTTTCAGAATGCCAAGAAAAAAGATAAATTTACTATCAGCTTGTTTTATGTTTTCATGCCTTCCTCAGGACTGATATAACAAGTAGTCAAAACTTCAATAGGATTTGAGTAATGTTGTAGTTTTGGTTTACCAAGGGGAAAAATTTAATACAGGACACATAATTTATAGGATTATTTTATAATATTCACCCAAAGAGTCAAGTGCAAAAGAGTACGGAAGATTTATTGACACACTAGAGACCCAAAGAATCCAGCTGAGGGTCTGGATCCCACAGCAATGTCCTGCACGAGTTAAGCTGAAGACCTAGAGCCCATGACAATGTATCCTGCAAGTCGGTATCAAGGATCTGTGCTGGGAAGGCCCAAAGGTCAGTGGTGGCAGCTAAATGTCTGTGCTGTAGAATGGAGGATCTGTGCCAGCAGGCTGAGGGATCTGCACTGGAGCCAAGAAGTGATGTTCAAAGTAAAAACCAGAGCTACCCAAAGAGAACCGAAGCCATCCTCAACAACAGCAAGGTCCCAAACTCCTCTGATGCTAATAGCTGAATTCCTATCAGGCAAACCAGCACAACATGCTTCTTCAGGAGAATCAATAGCACATCATCTTCCCCTCTGCTTCTGCTTTTCATGGTGTTGGCAACAATCCTCAGATGGGCCTTCCACTCCGAGTACCACAGTGATTCAGTTCAACTGAGTGTTGCAAGTTGACCACCAGTTGTCAGTCTACCACAAGTAACATAATGATTAAGTTTTATTAATAAATATATAGAAATTATGCATAAAAACTACTGCACACATATTCTTTTCAAGCATATATGGAACACTTATGGAAATTAACCATATATTGAAACATAGTGCTCTTCTTAATAAATTTGACAGAATTAAAATCAAACATAATTATGTTCCCTGACCACAATGCAATTATGTTAGTACTGAACAAGGAACAGGTGCCTGTAATAACTCTCACACCAACTGTGTGGAAAGTAGGCAGTGTACTTCTGTATAACTCATCATTAAAGAAAATAGAAAATAGTCTTAACTGAATGATAATGAAAAATACTACATATAAAATCTTCTGAGGTATAAATAAAGTTAAGTTTAAAGGGAGCTTTGTAGCTTTAAATTCACCATCTCAAGAAGTAGGGGTAAGCAGTAGCAAATTAAACCCAAAGAAAGTAGAAGCAAGGAAATAAAAAAGTAAGAACAGAAATTAATGAAATAAAATCCTCC